GACGTGTTCTTCAATGACCAAATGTTCACCGACGACGATTCAGAAAATAACGGCTAAACTGTGGAAGGTGCGGGCTCACGTGAAGCCGGATTTGATCAACTTGCTCATGAAGGACATTCTAAAGTTAGTAAAAATAATAACAATGTATTTTGATAAATTACAAAATATTTATGCTCAGAACGGAAGTTGTATATAAAATTCATTTGACCTCGCAACATTAAAATATGACTTTCAGCATTAATTGTGCTACCACAGTGTCCACTATCAGTTACCTATCGCACAATAAAGACTAACCTCGAAACTGAATAAAGACCGTAAAAAAATCATGTTTAAATACAATTAAGTATTTGCAATTTCACGACAAGACGTCTTAACCACAATGGCCTTGGACATTATACATATTTTCATTTTTCACATTGTTACAGTACACGCTGTATGCAAACTGAATCAACTATGTCACCTTTATCATCTAACGACTACTCCTTCAACTCCAAAACAACAATGCCACCAACGCCAAGCCTTCTAACCCCACAAACACGAGCGTCAAACGTAATACAAATAAGAGTTAAAAAGACGGCACTAAGCATATCTCGATACTTGATGCATACATGTAATACATGATGATACATGTGCGTACGAACATCACACACTGCGATGCATGACAAGAGTCGAGAGTAGCATAGCACACCGGCACAAAACGCATACAGTAGCGCGTATAGTCCATCCTAGACGGCGTTACGTAGAGATGTTGCCGCTGCAATGCATGGCACACTGCAGCCAACGCCGTTATGTAACACCACGCGCAGAAAATACAATAGGCAATAACAGATACCAGAACCTCGTCGTAGACTACAATGCAAGGCGTGAGAATAGCACTAGGCAGACGGAGACTGCAACGCGGGATGTAAAGGTAGTACCAGCTCCCGCGGCTGAATGAAATGATAAGCGTCTGACGTGCTAGGGACTGCAATGGGACATGAACAATAACACCAGGACGAACGGCGGCAAACGACACCATTTACTGAGCGCTTACTCCATTGTTTCATTGGAATTGCACTGTGAATGTGCCACTTACTATAATATATACACTTATTATAGGTACATATATATTATATACACTTACTCATAATCTGATATCAAAGCGAAAAGATGCCGTTCCTATCGTCACTGCCGAACTAAACCATTTCGATTCTCCACTGTATCCCCAAGACACCTCATACATATCGAGCCGCCTCATGTTTACTGCATACATACGCGTGGGTTCGAGGGAGCGACGACCTAGCGGAACAGAGCAGTGATCGAATACAGCAGAGAAGCGCGAGAAAACACAGCAAAGCTGAGTTACCCAATACAGCGGAGCACTGTGCAGTGTGCAGTTACTTTGCAGCAGCTAACAACGAGGCTTGGCAATGCACTGATCGAACTGAGATTACGATCCGACCAAATGCAGCACTTCAATGATCTAACGTTGTGAGGACATTGACCACAGACGGGGTTTCCTAGTCCAGAGTAACTACTCAACATGCCGGGTGGGAAGAGCCATGTGAGGACAAGTCCAGGGTAGTCGCCCGTGACCTCTGAATCCGTACCAGAGTCATTGAACCCGTCAATTCTAGACTCGTTAGCGACTGATCACTGAACAGTGCCGTCCGTTGCATTGGAAAAAAACACCCGTCTGAGGATAGACATGGGCTCATCTAGTTTCAATGAGATGCATTTGACCGGATCATCATCATACGAATGCGTGCGTATACGTGTGCACATTCAATTTCCTAAGGCACCTATAACCATCGCATCGGCTCCATCGTGCGCAGTTATCACCGGAAGAAGTCGCGACACACGAGTCTGGTCAGAGAGGGAGCAGCACATGAGGAATCGCCTGAATCACCGTCGCCGGCCGCGAGGCTGCAGCATCGCGGCCGGCGACGGTGATTCAGGTGATTCAGCAGTAAGTACCGGCGGCTCATGAATGTTCACTGGCGCTGCTCATGAATTGCAGTAAGCAAGTTGAAGTTCAAGCACATGCGCAATGTGCGGGTTTGAAACCTCTTATGATTTTCCTTTATTTGCCGAGGTTCTAGAAACACTTTCGGTTTGCAGCATAACAAATTATGCGTAGCAAGCGAAGCAATTACAGGGTGATCCAAAAAATTTGGAACCCCTAACTTAACCCGCGCCCCAGTGGCGGTCTCAGCCAACTTCGCCCTAGTGAGGGGGGGCATATGTTACCACCCACCTCTAACTCAAAAACTAAGAGGGCTAGAAAGACGCAGTAAAAAGCAGTCGATAGCTCTCAATGCGTACGTTTGAAAGTATTTCAGTCATTTTTCACCTTAGAGCAATATTGGGGTCACCAGAGGTCATCAAAGGTCAAAATTTGCCAATTGTCATTATATTTTTCAGAAAACATGCCGCTATCTCAGGAACTATGGTAGCTAGAATAACGCAAGGAAGAGCAATCGATAGCTTTTGAACTCTTCTTTTGAAAAGGTCATTATTAATATTGACCTCAGGTCAACGGTTTGGCCTCCAGAGGGCAAAAAGTCCAAAAATAGCTGTTTTTACGAAAAGTGTTTTTCGACAATAACTTTCGACTACAAAAAGCCACGACATTTCTATTGCCAGAATCGTGTTCCTCTCGCCGAGACGCGTCGAATGAACTATAATTTGACCTTGAAAGGTCAAGTTGAAAATTTGACCTCAGGTCAAGGTCATGACCTTACTGGAAAAGGTCATCTTGCATATCAGTCGATGCGTCTCAACAAGGCAAACACAATGAGACCATCCCCAGCGTTCTATCTCTTTCCAATCGCGAGTTATTGGCAAAAAACTGTTTGTAGCCTCAAGTGACCTCGGATGACCTGTCTAGAGGCTATCAGCAAAAATGACACCTTGGTCATCACGAGTGGACTAAATCATTGTGATTCTGAAATATTTGGACTGTTCCGATGCGTACACACGGATCTAGAGGCATTTTCATTTTTCTCCATTGACTTGTAATGGAAAGGTTTCGCCACTGACCTGACCTTAGGTCACGGATATAAAAAATCCGAGATATACAAATTGTAGGCGCCCATAACAGCATGCAATCCACCAAGTTTGAAACCTTTCTGACAAACACTGCAGGCTGGACATGATTGCAAACTTTTTTTAGGCTTGGTCAGTTAACTTGACCTGGTGACCTGACCTGACATGACCTGGGGTCAAAAATTTCACACATTGTCCAAAATTGATGTACCAAAAGCTACCCCAAGCGGCGCGGCGCTACGCGCCGCGGTTTTTTATTCACACGCAAAAAACGCGACAGGGTGGTAACATATGCCCCCCCCCCACTGGGGCGAAGGTTAAAATGTCTATAAGTCCGAAAATATTCACTTTATTGTCACATTGCGAATACCATTAGAAAGAGCATTATATTCTCTATAAAATCACGTCAAATTGGTGCATGGATGGTGTAAAGAATTGGCACACTATTAGCTTTTGGAATGAGCGTCAGAAAACTGAGTGAAACGAAATCGCCAAATGTTAACGATGCGCTAAAATCCGTTAGCACTCTATCTGTTGTCTTTTTGCGAAGAACACCACATCCAAATTCAATTTTGTTTCATAGAAGTTTACACAGAAGCTTACAGTAGAACAGATACACGCGTCCTGGCTTCCGCTGTTCATCCCAGCATGTGCTCAACGCGAGCTCAGTGGGCCGTCACGCAGGCCTGCAGTTGCTTGGGGACAGCTCCGACAGCGCGGACCAGCAGTCTCTGGGACAACTGGTCCCAGCAGGCCGTCAGCCTTTCCTTTCCTTACAATAGCACGTGAATGAGCTATTTTTATTCATGAACCCCCAACAAGCGACATGGTCAGAACAGCAAACCGTCAATCACTGATTTGCGCATAATGTTCAAAACCGTTTCACTGAGTTTCGTGACACAAATTTTATACGCATATATCTTGGGCCATATTTATAATAATAATTAAGTTCAATCAACGTGGTTTTATAGAGAATTGAACGCTCTTTCTAATGTTTCTTGCAATTTGTCAATAAAGTGAAAATTTTCTGACTTTACGACATTTTAAGTTAGGGGTTCCAATTTTTTTGGATCACCCTGTATGTAGGCATTTGTCTGCAGAGAGACGGCAGTGAACGGTGTTTTGCCATCTCTCTAAAAGGCAGGTGTAATTACATGCATCGATGTCAATGGCACACAGCGAACAAAGGCAAAACAGTGATATAGTTTGTCTGGCGGACACCTCGGAGGGCGAACAATGTTATCTATTCCGTCGGAGCACACCCTCCGTTGCGTAAGGATGGCCACTCGCTGTCGGAGGACGGCGCCCGATTTCCGGTCCGGCGACTGGTCATTGTTCGGCGGCACGGTAGTCGGATCACCTCGGACCGACCCTCCGTCCGACCCGCGATCGTGGCCGATAGACCTGCTGGACAGGGGCGCCGCGCCGCGCAGCTAATCTCCTGCTGGGGGCACGCGTCAGCGGCTAATCCCCGCTGTCCCCACACCTGGCACACGCATCCGTCCCTGTTTACTGGCAGCCACCCGTTAGAGGCCAATGTCTCCATCATAACATAAAACAAGCCTCGGTGCTCAGTGACGGTGAAGCGAGAAACGATGCTCATCCTCCTGTTGACAATCGGCCAACTGGAGTGCGTCGTCGCGCGCCGACAGGTGGGTGCCGGCGACCGAGTGTCGAGCATGGCTGCTCGCGGAGGCGGCGGCGGCGAGCGTTCACCCCGGCGCGCCGGTGCTCCGTCCGTCAGCGACATCCCGTGACACGACACGGCGACCCCTGGCGGCCCCCGGCCAGCCGCCGCGAGAGGTGGTGCAACTGGCCCATGGCCGAGAGGGGGCGGCCGGCCGGCCACTAGTGCAGCTGGCCGTGTGGGCCGCGACCGGTGCCGACCGAGCGGTGGCCTTCCGAGCCGCGCCGCCGGCCAATCAGCGCCGCCGCTGACGTCACGGCTTTCTCTGGGCGGCGCGCCGGCGGCCGGTCAGTCTGAGACGGACTGGTGAGACGCCAACACCGCCAAGCCGAGAGCTGCGGAGCCTCGGCAGTGAGCGGCCTCGTCAGCCATGTTGAAGGGTGAGTACCGAGCTCAGCGTGAGCCACATTTCAGGGAACAGCAGCAGACAACACCAGCCGACATCGCCGCCGCCACCGACTCCGAGCAGTGCCCTCGACAGCTGGCGCTGCGAGCGAGCGCTCAAGGTGATCCGTGCAGAAGTGAGCGTGCAGCCGCACCCGGCGCTGAGTGCAATGGCAGCGGTCGGGCGCGGCTAGGCTGGGGAGTGAGTGTCGGGCCACTGGGACACCGGGCCCCAGAGACCCAGACAGAGTCCCAAGGACCAGAGACCCAGAGAACGGCCGACTCCACCGGATACCAACCACCGGAAGACGATCGTCTCACCGTCAGCCAAACGACCGCCGTCCGACACCACTGGAAAGCAGCCTGGGAGACGGCCGCCAGCACGAGCCGCGCCTCTGAGCGACCTCTAAACCCACTTCCTGTGGAGTACGCTGGTGAAACGCGTCCTGCACTTCCTGCCGGCTAGTCTCATCGAGTGGGGAGAGGACCTGAGAAAAGGCCGTCAGACGATGCACCCAGCGCAGAGAGCGATCTGAGAACGAGAACCAGTTCCACAGCGTGACATCACATCGTGCAGACCGCGGCGGCCTGGATCCGACGAAAGCGGCCCATCCTGGCGAGACAGACACGGACGTGTGTGTCTCGGCGTGACCTGTCCGGCGGTGCTGACGGACGCGGCTCGGGGTGAGGACTCTGTGCCGCAGGCCGCCGGATGTGACCAGGTGCGGAGAACTGTTCGACCTCCATGGACAGAGACTGTGGGCCACAGCGCACCAAGGCCGGCTGGCGCACAAGGCCGGCGGCCCAGCGGGCCCCGGCCCCCGAGCGGCGTCTCTGCAATCAGCCGGCCGTCACCGCCGATCACGAACGGTCGGCGCCGGCCGCAGAGATTCAGTCGTGACTGGGCCCGATACCATCCCCTAAACACGCTCCTAACCTAACCCGAGCTCCGTGACCCGATCTGACCCCCCATCCACCAGTAATCTGACCTAGTCTGACCGGCTGATCTGACCTCTGTGGCGTCACATATCACCTCAGCCTGACCCTGCCTCTGAGACTCAAGAAATGATGAAACAAACGTTGGTTAGCTTAGCGTCGATTACGATCTGTTGATAGTTCTGGAAAAAAATGTTAGACCTAATCTAATTTAAAGACCTAACTGCTAAGCTTTTAAAAAACGTGCATTTTTCAATGATACATTGTGACAACTCAATAACAAACATAAGACAGGTTCGGACGATGTAGAGCTATAGGGATCAACGGGATCTCGTATAAACTATGCACGAACATAGGCTGCATTAGAAGGTCCAGACGTTCCAAGAAAATGTAAAAAGTTTGCTTCCTTGAATGAAGACGTTCCGGGTCGGAGGTCCGAACAATATTCTTTCGATAAAGTTAGAACAATGCCAGCAATCTAACGTGTCTGACAATGAAGATTACGAAAGGAACGCATCTGTGCATCGTTTTGCAAACTCATTTGCTGCAGTTATCATCTTCGCATGGAGGATCGACAAAATTGAAAGACCAATTATAGCAACACTTCTTCTAATTATATGGTTCAGAGGGCAAAGTTTGGAAAGTCTCTAAAATGCAACATGTGTGAGATCTAAATGATCGAACTTTCATTTGAGCATCTAAAGGTTCAAAAACATAATTGCTTTGCTCTACTTATTATAAAAGATTTCCGAGAAAACTGTATTGCCCTGAATATTAAATAAGTTTCCGCCATGCCTAAAAGAGCTGTGTTCAATGTTAAGCTTGACAGGACTAGCCTCATTAGGTATCAAGCACATCGATGACGTTATGTAAGTGTCGAGTGAAGCCGTGATTCATTGCCAGATCCCAATCAACTCTGTCGAGCAGTCGTTATAGAGTTGGCTCACCGCTTGCCTCATCAAATTAGCTCTATTATTAAGTCTGTTAGCATAATGAAGCGCTATTGTCGAGCCTCTTCATAGAGAAAAGACAAGCGGAAACGAAATTATACACCTATATGACCCTGAGCAGCTGCTAACATTCAGCTCAGCGCGCCGGCCACCTCTCGGCGTGTATCCGGTTCCCGTATCGGTCAGCCTCGCGGCCTCTCGGGAACCCCGCTCCCAAATGGAGCTCGGTGTCGGCCGGCTGTCCCGGTGATGAGTCGACTGCAGGTCCGAGGAGCGGGTCAGGGCGGGGCGGAGTGACCTGTGGCGGCGGTGCCAGTCGGTACCGGGCGCTCCCTCCGTCCACCACCCACGCCCGCCGTCGCCGCCGCCGCCGCTGCTGTCCCGTCCCCGGCCGGCCGAAGGTCGGGGAAGCGCCCCGGCCCGTTGGCCGCCCGCGCACCGCCACACAGCGAGGACAGCCCCCTGTGATGCGTCACACCTGTGACGCGTCACCTGTCACACCTGTTCCAAGTATCCCTTACAGTCCCGGACCCTCTGTCCTGAGGAGAAGCGCTGCAATGTGTGATAGCATCCACATGGGGAAGCCAACCGTGCCCGTCAACTCGAGGCAGTTTTCGTATTCAGTCGAGCAGGACCATTTTCTCCGCGCTTCAGTTATTGTAAACCTAAAAAAGACTGTTGTTAGGACTTTCTATAATTCCCGCAGTCTACGCTTTAAAGAGAACAATGGAATATCAACACTAGCCTCAGTTATTTTCCAATCGATCACACATCCTTTCGAAAGTGATTGATAACTGAACGCCTATCAAAATGACAATAATTAGCGACTGCGCAGCACCAGCATGCTCGTATTCCTGCGATGTTGTTCTGGAACATTCCAGAAGCTCCCACACGACGTCCACCCGTCCTCCAGCCTGTTCACCTTCGACGGATCTAGATGGCCATCGCTCTCAGGGTCCCAATAGCCGCGTGGGTGGCGGCGAAGAAAGGAGAGAAAGGCAGCGCGACTCCGAGTGACCAATGCCGCCAGCTGGGGCGCCGCCACCGCGCATACGAACGGCTCGAGCTCCGCCATGGGCGCGGCCGGTCGGAGCTACTCTCAGTTTCGCTAAATGAGCTCCAGCCACGCGCCAGATGACGAGTCAAACGTTCACTTGTGTGGGCACAGCGTGGGATGCGCCGCCGAGGGAAACGCCGGGATCCGGAGAAAACTCACACATTATTTTGACGGAAATAGAGATGTTGATGCATTCCATAATATTTTGTGAGCACTGAACATTGTAAAACAAGTCATTGAACAATAAGGCACAAAACTTATTCCAGTTTTCATCGTCACAGGCCATCACACAGGATTAGCGCTAATTGCACATGTCAGTTCAAATGTCTCGCTCTCCATGACCACTGACCGACAAGTTGACATACGCCTCCTGGTAGTGCGTATATTCACAGCACCCGAGCTGCTCTATCATTAGCCCAGAATCCTGAGAAATTATGTGATTTTCTGCGGTCCGTTTCGGTCGGCGGTCGGTTGAGGCCGTTCAGTGCCATTAGGGCCGACCTTGGCTGGCAGCCAGGCGGACGATCGGAGCCCGTTGCGTGTCCATCGGAGCGCGTCGTTGTGCCATCGGAGGCGACGGCGGCGTCCTCCCACGCCTGCCGCGCCCGTCGGCGGCGTGGGTGACCGCTGAGATCCGGCCCACCGGCCCTGATGCAATCGGCCGTTTAGCGCGGCCCGTCTGAAGAGGCGGTGAAACTCCGCCCCCGTATCCTCCTCGACTGGCGAAAAGGGCCGCCGCCGCTGCCGACCGCCGCCCGGCCGCTCGAGCCGTCCCTCTCGAGCGAAGGTCGCTTCACCTGGCGATCTGTCAATATTTGCCGCATTCCCGTCCGGTGACGGCCGGGCGGCTCCTCAGGGCCACCGGACGCCGCTCCGCTCTCCTGTCTCACCCCTCTCCGAGCCCAGCGCCCCGCTCCCGGCCGAGTCAGTAGGGCGACCCGATGGACTCCACCGGTGGTCTCTCCAGACAGTCTATCTGGCGACATCATCACGACTGAGTGACCGCGCCGCGGCGGCTGAGGGAGCCGTCTCGGTAATCCGAGCCGGAGGGGCGGCCTGACACCGCGCGCGGCCTGTCGCTCTGTTTACACTTGTCTCCGGCGCCGGGGACCCGCCGCCGCGCCGGACAGCGGGGAGGCGGCGCTCACTGTCCTACGGCCGAGGTAATTGAGGGCTCACAGCCGGATCGGGATTAGGGCAATTTGCCGCGGTAATGGAGACCGTGTGAGGGGTCGGCCGGTCTTTTCCAGCCGCGCCGCCTGGAATGGCAGAGATCACAGACCTCGGCCAGTTCAAATGGAAATGCCGCCCCGCCCGACACACCGTTACGGAGCCGTCTCCGCCGACATACACGGCGGCCGGGTATTGCCCTCATACGGGCGAGGCATCAAAATGAAGACCTCAAGACACACAAAGACGGCTGATCGATGCGTACACAGAGGTTGGAACGGTCGGAGCCATCTGCTCGAAACGCCACGGCGCTCGGCACAAGGCAAAACAACATAGCAACCGTTCAACGCAGCTCAGCACGGCTCAACTCAGCTCAGCGAGTCGGCCGACAGCCGGCACGGGCCGGTCCGGCCGACAGCCTCGTTACTGCCGGGGCGCCCAGCCAGCCGTGAACCGACACACCCGCCCGGCGCCGGAGCGAGACATCGTGTTTTGATGCCCGCCACCGCGACCCGGGGATTAGCGTCGCAACTTACTAATGCGATTCGGACACACGCACTTATTGCCACGATGATTGTGCATTGCCGCCCAGCAAACATTTCGTAATGTCATTCCGGTTAACAACATGCATATGACAATGAATAATGATGTAAAATTAAATCAATCAGGTTACGACGGTGTTTGGGGGATTTAGTGGGCACAGGAGATTCAGAGGCCATTCCGAGCGACAGTCTCTGACTTGTAGTGTTCGCGCTATTTGTGTGAGAATTCGAAAACCGATAAGCTGTTGCCTTTTATAGCCGCCGGGCCGGTCTTCTCGTCAGGCCGTGATAACGCCGCCAGTAATGGCCGGTGAGACCGGCGGCCGGCCCGCCGTGGTGTGACCGTCGGACCGCGCTCTGAGCCACCGTGTGACCGTGTGCCCGCCTCTGTGTGACCGTGTGTCCCGCCTCTGTGTGACCGTGTGCCCGCCTCTGTTTCAGCTGAGATGCCGTTCCTCGTGGGACTGGTAGTCTGGACTACCATCGTCGCCACGGTGAGTACAATCGCGACCGCTCGCCACTCGCTAAACTCTAGCCCACTTACTCGCCGATGTTTACATCTATATATCAGTCAAATTTATTCCACCCGAGCAGCACAGCAAGAAGTAGACGGGCTGCAGAGCAGAGCATCCGTGCTCTATTTACCGCCCGATCGGACAGGGACGACCTCGGTGACCGGGCGGGTGCACTGTCCTTCCTTTGCCACGTCACCCTGCCGCCCGGGCGGAGCGAGCCGCCCAGCGCCGTCCGCTCTGTCCAGGTTCACCCTGTCGAGAGCCGCCGAGACGGTCGGAGGCGAAACCAGCGGTAACGGTCGCACAGTGGAGTCGACACTGTCTTTGTTGCAGCCTTCCCTGATTAGCTGAGTCGGATGCCTGGTGGATCGTGAACGGTGGATTTGGCGCCGCGATGTAACGGGTGCCTGACTGCACGATTGATAAAAATACTGAGCCAGACTGACAGATTTCTCATCGGTCTGAGATCAGCTGGCCAATATTTTATCTTATTTTCTCTCGTGATCAATACTGAGCCGGACCCTATCAACTCCGCAACAATGTAAAACACTGATGCTGGGAGTGAGGTCCCTTGCCCAGCAGCGTGTCCGGTCGCTGGGCGTCAGTTTGAATGCCGGTCAGTGCGGCGTTTCTCGGTCTCGGCCCGCGCGCCGTGTGATCACAGCAGGCACGTGCCGGGCGTGCCGATGTTGTCTGTCTGTCGGTGACGTGCCGTCCGTCGCGGCGCGGCTAACACGGCCCGGGCGTAGCGCGGCAGCGCGGCTGGTATCTTGTTCAGTCACCCCTCGGCGCCGAGTCAACGGCCGGTGGCGGCACGGCACGTCCGGCCAGGGCTGCCCGTCTCCGGCCGGCAGGAAGCGGACCGTGTGTTTAGCCGGGCGGCAGAGGTGGCCCGCCGTTCACCTGCTAACTGTCTGCCCAGACAGATGGCACGCAGACCCCAGCAGTAACGGCGCGACGAGACGCGGACACTGTTTTTCGCGTCTGATGCGACGCGCAACGGGTCGCTAAAAACGCCTCCATACCGCGGCCGCACGCGCCCGAGCGCGGTGACGCCGCTCGGTGAGACGGTGCGGGGCAGCGGGCTGTGCCGGCGCCGGGTTTTGTGCGCTGCTGTTAGACGGGGCACCGGACCGCGGCGGTGAGGTGGTGTCATTAGCAAGGGTAGCGACTGGGGCAGGCGCAGAGACGCACGCAGGACAACAGGGCAGCTCACTCCAGTGAGCTCAGGGGCCGTAACACAAAGGGACGCGAAACTGGCCTTGTTTTGCGCTGTCACACGCCCTCTGATGAGCTTTTTGAGGTTTTTCGATAGGCAACCTTGCGACACGCATCTTGTTAGTTAGAGAAGCATGTTGCGAAAGCCTGGCGAGCTCTGGTAAAACTCCTAGTCATAGAGCGCGACAAAGACAAGAAGTATGACGCGATTCTGAGGCAAGGATTTCCGCAACTTCGCGTGATGAGTATCGGAACGGGGATGGAACACCCCGAGACTGGCGCCAGAGTAACCTCTGGAAGAGCTGCCCAGACGGTGACGTCATCCCCCGGAGACGATCTGGCAGCTCCGGTCAGCTGGCAGCCCTGCTGCGGCCAGCTGACTGCGGTCTCCCGGGAACCCGGCACTCCCCACATACCGCACCGCGTTCGTCTGTCACGAGACTCTGGTAGACCGCGTGGGCCGTTAAATTCGGCGACACGGAGTTGCGTGCCACCCTGCGACGGCCAGAGGTGGCCAGTCTACCTGACCGTGGGGTCCACAGACCGGCTACAATGCCAGGAAGCCGTAATTCGCTGCAGCGCCGACAGACCCGGGCTCGGTTCTCGCCAGCGGCGGTCGGCGAGCTGGAAAAACCGGCCGCTCGCCTCCGCTCGGAGCCGCTGCCCGGTGTGTCGCTGATACCCAGAGTGGCTCTCTGGCCGTGTCACGCCGCTCCACTCATCAGCGCGCTGTCGGCCGTCATTAGCGAGCGATCGACGCGAGGCCGTACCCCGGGTGGCGGCCGCATGGCCCCGCCGGAGACCAAATTACGACGAGACGCGCCGCCGCCCGCCGCCGCCGCGCCGCCCGCGGTCGACCCCAGCACGGTGTCAGTGACCCTAAAGATAGAGCAGCCGGGGCGAAGGGCGGGCGGAGCGGCCGCCACCTCAGACACCGCCGCTCGCAGAACGCTCTGCGCCCTCCCAGAAAGTGAAAGGCTCAACATGAAACTGAGCTCGGTCGGTTATCTCTGGAGGCAGGCACGGTCTCGGCCCGATGTCACTCCCCTTCCTGCTGGTATCGGACATACCGCCGGGGCCCTGAAGGTCACTGTCAGGACCGCGGCGGCGCCGACCGGCCGGCTAATGGACTGAGACGGAGCCGGCGCGGCCGCGGCGGAATGAGCCGCTCCGTGAGCGCCGCCGGCCGACGTGGGACGCTCCGGAGCGGCGCGGTGGCGTCGTGCACGCCCCCGGTGAGGAAATTCACCAGCAGTGTGACCTCAGCGGCGATTAGGGCCCGCCGACCGACCGCGGCGACCAACAGTGCGGGAAATCGACGATCCATTCGCAGGCGCAACAGCGGTGCAACAGCGCCGCGCGCCGCCCGAACGGTTTCACTGGAAGCGGAGCTCTGCAGTGTGGGAGACCGGTACGGGATTCAGTGGTGCGCAATCCGTCTTAGCCCGCTCAGAAAACGCCTGTCAAGCCCCGGAATATGAATGAAATTTTACTTATATAGAATGCCCATTTATGAGTCCAACTGAAAGGTATTCATTTAATTTATTTCAGCAATAATTGCTCTGACGTAAATGTAAATCAAGTTGGTAAAAATATTTTTACTTGTTTTTATATCGGCATCAGAAACAAATTGTCGTCTTCATATCTGAGTCAGATGTCACATTTAAAAATGTACCTAATAGATAACCTGAAACTGTTATGTTAAGTCACGTCAATCTTAAGGGTTTATGCTTCATGTTTCGATCAAAGCCACCTCGCACAAGGAAATGCTTTTTGCCTTATTCCCGTCACCCGGCGCCGTTCAAGGTTACATAATCAAATTAGTCATCGTATTATCATAAAGGTAGCCTTGGTCTCTGCCGGGGCATTGTCATAGGATCAACAACATATATATGTTTTCAAATATAACCTTATGTTCAATGATTGCGAAATGCAAATGGTTCCAAAATTAATTACAAAATGAATATATTTCGGACACTGTCCTTCTTCAGTTCAGAATTGCAAATTAAATCATTTAGTCACAACAGCGCCAGAATATGTCGATAACAGCTAAGTTAGGAAGTCTCACATTGGTAAATTCTCGCGCAAAATAGACAACCATCTTACAGTTGAAATGTTCACAAGGTACCCTTTCATATAAATATAATACATGTGTCCACAATTTACACATTAATTCATCCCTATCATCTATCAATCACTAGACCACAAGCATCTAGTCGTCTATTCAACCATCGAGCCATGCAATCAGTCAAACATCCAACCATCCATGTACTCACACATCACTCAGCTATAGATAATTAGACAATCAAGTCATCAAAGGCCACCATCTTACATCAAAGAGCATAAGTACTTTACCATTAAACCATTCATTCAAACCTCGAAACAATACTCAATCGTTCAATCATTCATGTTCATCCATACATTCATACATTCATTCATTCATTCATTCATACAATCATCCAATTATTCAGTCCTTCATTCATTCATTCATTTTCTCACATATCATTCATCAATATGGTTGAATATAAAAGCCACTTGTCACTCAGTAATACACACATGATCAGTGAATCAGTGGCAAAGGCATCAGAACAGAAGACGTTACAATAGCGAAGTTGTAAATGCTAGAGTACTACAGGACAGGATCAGTTCCTCATTTCTTTCCCTTGGTCTATGACTCGTTACCCTTTAAATGATGGTCCAGGCCGCTATGTTGCTGTTTAGAGCTGGGCGAATCTGTGTGATCCAAAGAGACTCCGCTATTTTCCTGCCTCTACTTTCATCGCATGCCTGCAGAATCTTTGCCCTTACATTATGGGGTCCCGGCCGACACTGGGGATGCTGTGTTCGGAAATGCTCGCCCCACGGGGAGTCATTCCGCTTGTTTTTAGCGTCTCGCAAGTGCTCGTTGTAGCGGAGGCGCACCGAACGTCCCGTCTCACCAACATAACTCTGGTTACACAGTTCACACGTGAGCTGGTACACCACACCTGAGCTGTGGCATCTTCCTTTCAGTCCGGCGGCGCACGAGTGGCATCGAGAGCCACCGGGACAGGGTGGAGGCTGGAGGGCTGACCGGACCAGTTGGTGCCTGATGGTGTTCTTATTAGTCCAGGCCAACCCCAGGTCAGGTTGGCTACTCCTCCGGACGACTGACTGGACCGCGTTGGCGAGCTCGTCGTCGACAAATGGTAGCACCATTCTGACTGCGGAAGCATTCGGTCTTCTTGTTCTTGCTCTGGTCGTCTTCATGCACTGGTCCACCGCCTTGTTGATGGTCTTCACGTTGTACCCGTTGTTGGCGAAGAGCTCTCTTGTTTTGTTGATGCTTCGGTGTCGGGCGTTATCGTCACTTGATAGCTTGATGGCTCGTCGTATTTGTGAGTGAAGCACTGCCCTTTTGGTCTTCCATGGTTGAGCCGACTCTGCGTGAAGCATAATCCCGGATGATGTTGGTTTGATGTAAAGTTCCGTTGTATACTTTCCCGAAGGGTAAACTGTGATCTTGGTATCTAGAAAGGGGATTGGTGTATTGTCTTCCGTCGACTCGATGGTAAATTTCATTGAAGGATGTGCTTCGTTGATGTGGGATAAGTATTCTTTGAGACTAGTTGGTCCGTGAGTCCACACTCCAAAAATGTCATCGATGTATCTCATGTAGATGTCCGGTTTGAGAAGTGCGCTATCGTTGAAGGTATCCTCAAGGTGTCCCATGAAGATGATGGCTAGTGGTGGGGCTACGTGGCTTCCCATGGCGATACCAG